TTGTTAGCAGAGTCCAGGTCGTCTATCAGGATAGTCTCTCCAAGGAGGTTTTTAAACACTGCAAAAAGAAGCACAAGCAGGAAACCTTCAGACCTGTTGGGACAAATCTAAACACTCATAACTTTACTGCTTATACTACTGAAAAACTTCCAAAGTCAAAGAGAAAAGCTTATTTGAGATGAAAATCCTTAAATGAAAAGTCATTTTAACGTAGTAAAAGACACCCAATTTACCCCAGAGAGGAACCCCTCTCCCTCCTGTGAGGCTGGGTACCAGGTGGAACCATTTACCCAAGACTCAACAGGAGTAACAGGGGCATGAAGGAAATACCCCAACAACAGCAAACACAAAGAGACCTGGGAAGCATCTAGAAAACCACAGAAACCCTGGACTCGTACTATATATCTGCATGAAAAAACAACAAGTAGGCAATGGTACACAGAGCAGGGGAAATTCATTCAGGGCAGCTCACCGATGTTGCAGTTCTCCTGGTCCTGGGGGTAACTCAGGAGCGCTCTGGCGTAGATTGGGTTCCCAGAGGGATCAAAGAGCATGTGGCCATTTCTTATGTGTGGCAGCGGCCTGTAAGCAATTCAAATGTTAGCAGAGAAACTACAGAGATGATCTGACACCAATAGAGGACCACACTAGTAATTCATCATAATAATTATAGTCACCATTTTATGAACCTTAAATCAAAACGAAAGACTTTCATTTTCAAGTCTTATAACTTACATTTACATTTAATAAGTTGTGGCCCTTTTTTTTGCAGATTTTCCACATTTTATTGTCTGAATGCGTGTATTGATTTACATGATAAATTCCCTTGAATTGAGATTTAACTAGTTTGATGGATGAAGGCATGACTTCACTAAAGGCGCCCTTGTTACATAGTCGTTAAACAAGGAGGTGCCACAAGATCTTTAAATTACTGTTGTTGGAAGTCTAGAGGTAGGAAAAGGCTTAAAAATGAAAGACTATAATGAAAGACGCACTGGAATCTCATCAGGAAAACTATACACAATACTGTCAAACTGAACTTTTTAGTATCACAAAAGGCCACAAGCTTTATTTTTTTAAAGACTCTTCATTGACGGAGAAGTTATACCTGTCGCCTGGTGGCACATACACACTGTCAAGGGCCATGACCTGCTGCCTGCCTTGGGTGTCGTCATAGATCCTCCGTGCTGCTACTGTCGTTTTGGTGATGACGCAATCCATGTCACCCCTGATGTGCCAGGAGATAACCCTCGCAGCATCATCGTCCTGCACAAACGCCAAGTGGCCAACCTGCAATCAAAAGATAAAGCACACAGCTCTGGAACATAAACCGTGTGACCGTTTCAAGGCACAGCCTGTGAGGATACTTCAGCACTCCCCCCAACACACATTTTCCCCAACTCAAACTCACAAATTAGCCCAAACATTGATTGGACGCATCTGCATGGGCGTCACAGTTTCCTGAAATTACACACTAGGTTTTTAAGGCGCTACGCCAACAGAAAGGTCATTTTTTCCTGTGACATTACCATTCCTAAAACATCCTGCTGCCCCCTGAAGTTATCACGGATGGAGCAGACTCTTCTGGGCGTGTTCAGGATTCTGTTGGCTTCGGCTGTCTTCTCTTCTAGCATTCTGTTAATATCTGGGACCTACAAAGAATACAAAATATGCAAATGTCATCCCCTGATGAATATATATCAGTTAGATCATAATTTCTGGATATACAGATGTAAAGTGTGGATAGAATTAACATCTTACAGATACAGGTTGTGTTAGTCTCAGCGCATTTCTCTGGTCAGCCTCTTTTTTACACGCATCATGGTAATGATCTAGTATGGAAGAAATACTTGCAATTAGGGTTAAATACATTACTCATATTATTATATTTAAATCAATCAATATTGTACAGTTGCTTGTGTTTAAACAGCATTTATCATTTAAAACCTTTTTTGTATAAGGGAAGAAAAAAAACTCTTACTGTTCAGCATTTTGAGAAGTTCACGAGAGCTATCAAAGGCGTTTCTATATGCAGCAACAGCAGCAGCGAGCTCACATTTCTTCTTGCTTAGCTGGGACATTTTCTGTTGGTTCTCCCCATCTAAAACAAAAGATAAACAGGAACATTTGTTTTATTTACCCAGTTTAATTAGATAACATCTGTCCCAGAAATATTGCCTACTGTCATTATAATCTGTGTGTAAAAAAAGCAGGTTAGCCAGTGTTTTGCTTTCTATACTTGGTGTGGCGACTGCACACACACCTCAGAGTTTTGTCTGGTATATCATATCTGAGGAGGCACCAAAGAACTTGGCTTGATTGACCTTTCAACTCCAAAGAAACACAAGCTAGTTTTGAGCAGCAAGTAATGTGGAGTTCCCCTTTAAATGCCATTTATTAAACCTGAAAATAACACAAATTACACTGTTTTCACCTCCATTGTACTCGGACACTGACAGAAATTTAGATATATCTCAAAGCCTGAGCATATAAAACTAACTAATGCTTGAAGTTTAATTTAGTTACGTTATAAACCATAACCATCTAATCACATGGAGTCAGCATCAGATCTCATATTCAGTCTCAGCACAGCAGCAGCACTGTGTTACTGAATACATTTTTCTTATATCATACCATTGCAAAAATAGAAGACGAGCTTAAAAGGATCCAGGAATGTGGAAACCATCGACACTTCAGGTTTGAAGAGGAGGGTGTATGAACTGCCATTTTCACCAGGGCTGTTCTCCATGACTGCCAGCCTCTGTGCGGAATAAATACCCAATTATCATGTGTGACGTGCATCATGGGAACCTTAAATATCAAAATAAAGGTTGTGGTGTGTCCTGTCTGACAAATGGATACTCACACTGATGTGGACTTTTCCTTCTACCAAGCTAAACTGAAAGCTGTTGACTTTGCCTTCAAACAGAGGGAGTTTGTTGTTGTTGTTGTTGTTGTTGTCTCCATTAGAAGTTGTTATAGAAACCATCACCTTCCCATTCAGGTCCTGCCCCGTTGGGTTTCCATATGAATCCTGGAATCATTCAAAGCAGTCAGGCTGAATATCAGATGATAAACATCAAAACTACGCCTTTAAAAACTCACATATCTAACTGCAACTCTTAGGCTGTTTCTGCTCTTTTACAATGAGCTCACCATTATCCTCAGAGTCATATTCTCCACCAAGGTTCGGCGGGCAATATCCTTACTGTAGGAAACAACTGGGGCTGGTGGCTGAGAGTCGGGTCTCAGTCTGACAGGTTGATTGGGCTCCACATTTATAGTAATCTAGGAGACAGGAAACAGTGCTGAGGTTAGTCATTTTTCTCAGTGAGTCAGGATTATGACCTCCACCCCTGCAACGACTCCACCAACAACCACTTTCCTGTCAAACAGATATGAAAGACAACAAAATGTGGAGACTCCATAGACTTTGTATTTGTAAAAAAGGTCAGCTGTTGGGTGTCTGGAAAGAACTTGTTAAGGCGTGATGATGTTTCTACCAACCTGATCACTGAACAGGACTTTTGTTTTGTCTACACAAAGAGAAAACTGGATGATGTGCTTTCCAGCATCTTCTGGGATCTCTTTATCTCTGCAGAGAAAGAAAACAAAAACAATATTTACTTTTCTTAAAAAGGAATAGTCTGACATTTTATAAAATGTACTTTCTGACAGAGGTAGATCAGAAGACACTACTGTCCTACCACTGACAGGTCTGTGCGGTAG